TGGTAAACGTTCATTCAAAAGTTCAGTAATAATTTCCTTTAAAATATCATTTACAATTGTCTTGATTGTCTTTTTGTCTCTTTCTAAGCTTAAATGAAATATATCGTTCCTCTCTTTCATTTCCATTTCTTGTTTTATGTAGTTGATCTTCGCAGTGATTTTTGGTATTATTTCATTTTCTATCCATAGTCGGTTGCTGGAAATAAAAAAAGGATTTTTGAACGTTCGATAACATTGTCAAACTGTACCTTAAAACTCACCCTTCTATCTGAAAATTTGAATTGGTATATAATTGAGTTTTAACCGACTGCAAAAAAAGGAAAAGGTTCTTATTTTGATCTGTATGTATGTTTGTGCGGCATTGTCTCGCGATTAGCTGAATAGTCGTATCAGGATAAAAAGTAGCCTAACAGTACTCTTAACGGTGTAAAAGTCCCAATGACAAAGAACTATTCGAATGGATCAAGCCTATTGAACGCATAGCACAAATAATAAAATCTTTGCTTTTTTTTAAATGCACAGGTTAAACAATGGCTTAGCGCGCCTCATAGAGCCATCAGACCACCTCGGATGAGACCAATATGGTGATGCCGATACGGAGCTGCGGAGGACTTAATGGGTTGCCGGGGCTCCGGCTCGAAGGGCAGGAGTAGGAACGGGGTGGTTTTTAGTCAGTGAGTCTGACACTCCCTCCGTCACCCAGGCAGGAGAAGTCATTCGATGATATTCCCCCTTAAAAAAAGCAAAAAAGAACGCATAGAAATTATTAATAAAATATTTAATTTTGCTCTTTTTGAATGCACAGGTGGTAAACAATGGCTTAAGAATTGTATAAAAAAGGCAAGTCTCACTAGGAATTGTGTGAATCGGTCATTTTTAAATTGGTTTTTAGATAATGAACGAATGAAAAATGCAGTTAGAGATAAAAATCATGGTAGCATCTGTACATCAGGGCTAGTGATTTGTAAGTAATACCAAATGTTATTTTTATCTATACCAGCTTTCATTCTTTTATCATCCATTCAAAATAATTGATCTCTTTTTATGCATAAGCCGGTAAACAAGCAGACAGATCACCTGATGGTAAGCAATCGGCGTAGCCCATAGGCACCCGGAACAACAAAGGCGTTACAAATGCGTTACCGGCCTTTTGGGGATTAGGAATTTGAGGATTTATTATGTTTTCGGCTTACTCACGTAACTGTTTGACGAGGAACTTGACTACTTTCAGGCCATGCTAGAGGCTCATATTTCTGAGCATGAGGGTCGCGGAATGCTGCTAATTAGTATGTCTCGATTATTAGAGATTCGGGGATTGGGGAGATTGGGGATGAGGTTTCCGGAGGCCTAATTATCGGGGGTTAATTCACTCACACGACTAAATACAACGCAAGCGTTGCTTCACGTCGGTTTTCTCTGAACCCGTGGTATCACTCCAGTCGAGCCGGCCCATTCGTGTTGAAGCATGGCTCTCCTACACTTAAATAATGATATTATTTGTTACTGTTAGAAACTTTGAAACGTTAATATTAAGGTGATGAGGAAAAATAGAGCAAAACCTTTGAGCCTTTCATTTTTTGAATGAGTATTAAAATCATCTGAAGCTTGATAATCGATTTTATTCAAAATTGACACTACGTGTTCCAGAACACTTATATAGTATACAATAATATGAGAATAATTCTTTGATAAACTACATACGTTTAAGAAAACTGATTTTGAACCTCCTCTTTTTTTAAGTCAATGGATTATTGTATCAGAACCTTCTCCCACAGTATAACAAACACGTTTCTGAAAACCACATCAAAATGGGTTCAACCAATCGCGAGATAATTGCAGACAAACATACATTTTTTTATGGCATAAGCCGGTAAGCGAGCAGACGGATCACCTGATGATAAGCAATCGGCGTCGCCCATGGACACCTGGAATACCAGAGGCATTACAAGTGGGTTACCGGCTTTTTGGGGATTAGGAGTTTGAGGATCGATGGGAATTCAGGGATTGGGGAGATTGGGGAAGGGGAGGGTAATTGGACCTCCGGTAACCTCACTCACACGACGAAACACAACGCAAGCGTTGCTTCACGTCGGTTTTCTGTGAGGCCGTGGTGTCACTCCGGTCGAGCCGGCCCATTCATGCGGAAGCATGGCTCTCCCACGCTTAAGGTTAAATTGAGAATCTCCTTTTTAGAAGTCGGTTAATAATAGATCTTGACATAAAGGCTGAATGAGTAAGAAACGGGCACGTTAAGTTTTAGTTCTAAAAGTGTATCCTTAGGATTTTTTGTTCACTTTTACATAATACCATGTAGAATTCTCCGAAAGGGTGAAAGTGATGTTCTTTCTGCACGTCTTTTGCGCCAGTTAAATTATTAGTCCCTTTGTTGTAAAGTAGAAAGTCTTTTGCAACAAACAATAGCAACATCTAACGGTTTAGTATGAGTTTGTTGCCCGGGTGTCATCACTGCGAGGACCGCCCTGAGGACACGGTGGAACACACTGTAGTGGAATGCCCTGCGTGGGCTGAGCACCGCCGTGCCCTCAGGGAAGTGATCGGCGATGGTGACTTCTCTCGCGTCCGGGCTTAGTGCAGGCCATGATGCGGAACGAGGGGGACTGGGATGTCGTCTCCTCCTTTTGCGAAGCAGTTATGCTAGCTAAGGAGATGGCCGATGCCGATTCGGAGTCGCGGAGAACCTAACGGGTAACCGGGGCTCCGGCTCGACGTGCAGGAGAAGGAACGGGGTGGTTTTTAGTTAGTAAGAGTCTGACACTCCCTCCCGCCTCACCCAGGCGGGAGCAGACATTCGCTGATTTTCCCCCCTTAAAAAAAAAAAAAGTATGAGTTTGTTTTCGAAACGAGACCGCGTTCAGCGCTCTGATTCGTTGGTTCATTAGAGCCTTTCTTTTTTGCTTTCTTTCTTGTACTAAGCTCTTTGTTTCTTTATAAGGGGGGTAAAATCATCCAATGACTTCTCCCGCCCTGGTGAGGCGAGAGGAAAGAAAGGAGCAGGCCTCTGTTATAGTGATACTGTTGCGAATGACGTAATCGAAAGTCAAGTGCGGATGACAAGGCTGATAATAAAGCAATAATGATTCAAAGTTAAAGTCAAAGTCAAAGCATTTGAGTGCACGGTTGGCGCGGTGGCTGGGCAACTGACTGCCGCGTAACATGTCGCGCGTTCGATTCCCGCACGGAACAACTCTTTGTGTGATCCACAGATTGTTTTTCAAGGTCTGGGTGTCATGTGTATGTGAACTTGTATGTTTGTAACCGCACCCACGACACAGGAGAAAATCCTAATGTGGGGCAACGTTTATATTTATTTTAATTAAACCATAATTTGAAACGTCAACAAATACAAAATAAATAATAGTCTGTTAGTCAGTTCGTCAGTGAAGCTAGGTGAAGTTAGGCTCATTCCAAAATGTAGATTCGAATGGAGAAGAACGAGCAATAAACTCTATTCGTTACTCTTTTAAAAAAAGTTAGTTCTATAATGTCTCTGATACATATTCCAATACTGTATTCCAATACTGGATTGCTTTATTATTATCAACCTTGTGGCATGGTAGGGTAAACAATATACTCATCGGGTTGCCAAGGCTCCAGCTCAACGCAGGAGAAGGAACGAGGTAGTTTTTACCGACTTCAAAAAAAGGAGGAGGTACTATGTTCGGCTGATTGTTTTTGTTTTTTTTAATCAGTAAGAATCTGAATTTCGTTTCACCCAAAGCGGGAGGAGTAATTGGATGACATTTCCTCCTTAAAAACCGGGTAATTAATATTAATAGACGTGTATATCCCCTGTAGTCTCTACTCTCTACCGTTCCTAATCCAATCTATACTCGATCCAGGTTTTTACCACGAATTTCATTGAACTAGTATTAAATATCGACCTTATTAGGAGTCACGGTTATTAATTTGGACCGGTGAGTCTATTCTTATAATACCAGTAGTAAACCTGAAAGTAACTTATGAATTTATAGGCCACGGTAACCGCTTACCATCAGGTGGGCCGTGCGGATTTCTTGCCACTGTCGTGGTATAAAAAAAATCATAATAACACGCCTTTTTATCCCCGAAGGAGTAGGCAGAGGTGCACATTTCGGCACTTAATGCCAACGTACAATTTAACACCCACTTTACACTATGTTATGAGTCCCATGTAATAGGGGATGAGCCTATTGCCATATACCGGGCACATTTCCAGACTCCGTGCTACTACTGAGATTTTTAAAAACCCAGTAATACTTTGCCCGACCCGGGAATCGAACCCGAGACCCCTTGCCCGGCAGTCACACTTGGGACCACTCGGCCAACGAGGCAGTCAAAAAAATTCATGCATTTGGTTGTATTGAGTACCCTTGTCCATGATTTACTCTGCATAAAGTCTTGTACCAATACCTTCGCGACACTTGATTTTAATCCTCAAAATATTTAGTTTAAACTGTCAAACACCAAGCGGTCACCGGTGACCGCGACCTATTGTTCTTTAATTGTGTCTATAAAACCGGTACTCGACGAGTTAATAACTAGAAACTTTTTCTTGAAACTCAACAAGAAACACATCAGTTACCTTTTTACTTTATACTTACTACACAGCACATTAACCTATACTAAACTGTAAAACGTCATTTCAATTTTATCGCTAAAGAGATAAGATTAAGAATCCTTTGACAGGATTAGGGTACCTTTGCTTGCTGCTGTTTGTTAACAATAGCCTTTAGGATTTAGGTATTAACAATAGCAAGTAGGATGACAGTGTTGTGTTACAAATTATGCAAGATGGCTGTAATATATTTAGGTTTACCCACATAAGATTTTATTAAGTAAGATGACGTATAAATAAGCTTACAGAATTGTAACCGATCAGTTCGCAATATACGCTTGCTATAAGTAGACGTTGCTTTATTTTTACTCCCGACACTTCAGTGGCGACGAGGACCACAATTGGTGCAAAACATCGAAGTTTCGTCTGCAATCAATTAAAGAAAATGTCGGTCGGCAAAGTCGGAAAGATTCGCGATTTTGACGTGAAGTCGGGAAACTGGACTTTGTACGAGGAGCGTTTGCAGATGTTCTTCAAGGTAAATAAGGTCGAGAAGGACATGTGGCTTCCGATGCTGATCACGGGCGTGGGAGATGAAACTTATGAACTGCTGAGCACGCTGTGCAATCCAAGAAAACCGGGGGATGTAACGTACGAAGAGGCCGTTATAATTTTGAAAAACCACCTACAACCGAAACCTGCAGTCATGGCGGAACGCTATCGGTTCAGACAAAGAAGACAGAACGTGGGTAAACCTAAATATATTACAATGGCTACCTGAGCCTTTTATTGGGGAACGGGGCTTTAAAGGTAGCCGTTTAGGAAGGATGGTTGTTCATCTATTGTCCATACAGGTAGATAGATACATAAATATGCATAAAAGAGCTGCCATCATCGTTTTTGCAAGTTTAGTAATGGTTTTTTTTAAACGTTGCCCTATATTAGGTTTTCTCCTGTGTCGTGGGTGCGTTTACAAACACACAAGTTCACATACACAATGTCACCCAGACCCGAAACAACAATTTGTGGATCACACAAAGAGTTGTTCCGTACGGGAATCGAACCCGCAACACGTTGCATGGCAGCCAGTGGCCCAGCCACGGCGCCAACTGTGCAGTAAAATTAAGTTCAAACTTGTATTACAACTTTCGTAAGACAGTTTCGTCTAAAGTAATTTAAATATAAGCCCCCAGCATGGCTTGAAACTAGTCGAGATGCTCGTCATACAGTTACGTGAGTAATGCAACAACATAATAAATAATACAAATTTGTTTAGGTAAATTTATTTTATGAAATATAAATTACTAGCTTTTACCCGCGGCTCCGCTCGCGTCACAAAAGAATAAAAAGTAGCCTATGTGACATATACCAATACACACAGCGCCATCTATACCAATACTTTTGTTTTTACTCGGGAATATCAATTTTTTCCGGGTTAAAAAGTGCCCTATTTTTTATTCCGGACTTCTAACTTTACGTCTGCAATAATTCAAAGCAATCGGTTGAGTAGTTACGGCGTGAAGGTGGAACAAACAAACAAACAAACATTATATAGTAAGGATTCATGAAATTAATTCGTCGCGTATTTTTTTATTTTGTCATATGGTTAGATAAAACGAAGTTAAGTTTAGGAGTAGGACGTTGCTACGTCTGTAGAATGTAGTAAATCTTGACGTCATAATTATTGTCGAATGTATTTCATTTTGGGAGAAAAGTAAGAACATGTTCACAATATTTTAACATGATCTACTAAACGGACATTAAAACAAAATTTGTCGACAGTTCGAGCAGACAGTATCTGCCTGTAGACTGCTTTACCATGATGTCATTGGGTACTTGCCTTCATCAAAAAAAAAATATTTCGACTACTGAATACAATAAAATATTTAAAAAATCTTTCACTTTCATTAATTGATTTTATGACCAACTTAGTTTTACTGCATGGTTGGCGCGGTGGCTGGGCAACTGCCGCGCAACGTGCCGCGGGTTCGATTCCCGCACGGAACAACTCTTCGTATTATCCACAGATTGTTGTTCCGGGTCTGGGTGTCATGTGTATTTGATATTGTAATAGTATGTTTGTAAACGCACCCACGGCACAGGAGAAAATCCTAGTGTGGGGCAACGTTTTTTTTTTAAGTTTTGGTATATTTTTCCAGCTAATTTTTAAGAAATCATTATGCTGTTTGACGCTAAAAAAACGTGACGTCACAATACACAATCATGTATAAAATCCTGACGGAATCTGTACCTATATGGCGGCTGTAGAGAGGGAACTTGGCACTACAGCTTTAACAAAGTTAAAAATAACACGTCTAGCGCATAGCCGTAATAGATCTGTCTATCCGTCTGTCTATTTAGGCTAAACTCTAGTAATAGCCTCTATTTAAAACAGCTATAATGTAAGGTGGTATTGAAATCAATTTTTTTTGTTCCGACTTTATTAATAATTTAGATAGGATAATTTTAGTCCCGTTTTTAGTTAGGTTTAAGCGATTTAAACTACGTTATAAGCACTTTTCTAACGTCTAACGTCATCTAGACAAGTAGCAGGAGTCACATGGAACAGAGTGGCTCAGGAAAGAAAGGAGTGGAAAAGGTTGGAGGAGGCCTTTGCCGACTGGCAAACAGATCTAGGGAAGATAACCAAACAACAAATTTTAGTCTAAATTATGCATACATATTAAGTTTCATATTATAGTACTAGTTCTTTATATAAGTTTAAAAACCTATTGTACTAAGAGATCTGATTAAAAGGCTATATTATTATTATTTATTATTATTTTATATAAGCACTTTTGGTTCTCGTTAATAAAGCAATGGGTTTCGTGTTCAATTCTTTTTGAGTAGCCCGACCCATTGGGGGATTTTTAGAAATTTCTCAGTAAGAGACATTTCTCTAGTCTTTTTTTTTGAGGGGGAAATTCATCTAATGACTTCTCCCGCCTGGGTGAGGCGGGAGGGAGTGTCAGACTCTTACTGACTAATAACTACCCCGTTCCTAATCCTGCACTTCGAGCCGGAGCCCCGATTACCCGTTAAGTCTTCCGCGGCACCGTATCGGTATTATCCCTGTTGGGCCCCATCTGTGGTGGTCTGATGGCTATTTCTCTAGAGTCTGGAATTGTTGTGACGTCACTGCAAAACTTTGGACTTTTGATTTATTTAGATATCGAATCTGAGACACATTTACTTACTCATAATTGGGATGATGACGGGGTATGAAAATTAAAATAGTAGTTAGTTATTTTGTTGTATAATAAAATGATACTTAGATATAACGAATCAAAGTTTAGGAGTGAAAACGTCATTTCTACGTATAAAATGTATGTACATAGAAGTGACGTCACGCGACATTTCAAATCAATATATCTTCCAAACTATTCGTTTCCGTAAAAAAAATAAAAATACGTGTCTAATGTTTTTAAATAATCTACCAGACGGACATTAAAATAAAAATAAGTCATCTACACCATACGGTGAATAAATAAATAAAAATAAAAAAGTAAAAAATCCTTCATTTTCATTTCCAACTATAAAATGCGAAATCTCTCTTTAATATGAAACCAAATAAAAAGTATGGGGTAATCAGAATTATATTAAGACGCATCGTCTTAGGCACCGCCCTTCCGACGTTAGGCACGCCCTTTTGTCTTATTTATAACTGTCCATAACTCTATTCAGCACTTTTTAATTCCAAATCCCTTTATATTAAGATCCTGGATCTACATAATTCTCGTTAAATACTTAGGAGAGTCTTTCGGGACGAGTGAGCCATCTCAACCAGATTGATACCACGGCCTCACAGAAAACCGACGTGATACAACGCTTGCGGTGTATTTTACACGGTGTATTTTAAAACATAATAATTAATTTCGTATGTCTCACGAAAGTTATAATATAAACTTAGCAAAAGGTTTTTTTTACTTATACCCACGGTAAAAGCAAAGGTGGTGACAGATGGGTTCTATTCTGCTATCACAGGCACTGTTTGCCTTTTTTATGGGATAAGCCGGTAAACGAGCAGACGGATCACCTGATGGTAAGCAATTGGCGACGTCCATGGACACCTGGAACACCAGAGGCATTACAAGTGCGTTACCGGCCTTTTGGGGATTAGGAGTTTGAGGATCGTTGGGGATTCAGGGATTGGGGAGATTGGGGAAGGGGAGGGTAATTGGGCCTCCGGTAACCTCATGACACGACGAAACACAACGCAAGCGTTGCTTCACGTCGGTTTTCTATGAGGCCGTGGTGTCACTCCGGTCGAGCCGGCCCATTCGTGCCGAAGCATGGCTCTCCCACACTTAACTTTGTTACATAATACCTTTATATTAAAAGAGGTTAGCCAATATTGCAGACGTAGGCAGAAAAGAGATGGTGACAAATATTCAACGCTATCGTAACAATAACAAAAATAACAAATTAAATAGGGTAGACATAGGTAGATAGACTGCCTCGTTAGCCGAGTGGTCGCAATTGCGACTGCCGGGCAAGGGGTATTACTGGGTTTTTATAAATTCTTAGTAACAGCACGGAGTCTGGAAATGTGCCCGGTATATGGCAATAGGCTCACCCCCTATTACATGGGACTCATAACATAAATAGTGCAAAGTGGGTGTTACATTGTACAGTGGCATTATGTAGGTACACTTCTGCCTACCCCTTCGGGGATAAAAGGCATGTTATGATAAATAGGGTAAATGACTAATTATTATTTTAATATTCGTCTGGTAGATTAACATTAGACACGTATTTTTTATTTTCTTTCGGAAACGAATAGTTTCTAAGATATATTGATTTCAAATATCGCATGACGTTACTTTTGAGTACGTTTTATACTTTAAAATGACGTACATAGCTAGCTCCCACTCCTAAACTTTGATTCGTTTTATCTAAGTACTGTTTTCTTATAGGACAAAATATAAAAAATACGTGTCTAATATTTTTTCATTACCTAACTGACGGACTAATAAAAATTTTAATTTTCATACCCTGTCGTCATCCCTATTCAAGTGAAAACATATACGTATCTATACCAAAGACAAACTCCACGGTAAAACCCATTTAATTGTAGACGGGACTAATAATACCGTCTGTACCGAGTAATCGGTATAAAATCGATTCTTCAGTATCGATATAATATTCATAATCGAGTCGCCCAGATTGTCTGGTCACAAGAATCGTTGGAAAATCAGTTTTATATAATACGATGTCTCGATTGGATCGTTATGTGTTACGCCTTTTAAACTGCGAAGGGAAGCAGAAGTGCTAATTTATTATTATCACTTTTTTATGGGATAAGCCGGTAAACATGCAAATGGATGACCTGATGGTAAGCAACCGGCACTGCCTATAGACACCTGAAACACCAAAGGCGTTACAAGAGCGTTACCGGCCTTTATGGGATTTGGAATTTGAGGATTATTGGGGATTACGGTAACCTCACTCACACGACGAACCACAGCGCGAGCGTTGTTTTACGTCGGTTTTCTGTGAGGCCGTGGTATCGCTCCGGTTGAGCCGGCCCATTTGAAATAACAACCAGTTATGTTGTATAATAGAGGTTACCTATATCCATTATTATATACCAGGCAAATTTAAAGAAAAAAACATAATTTATTTGCCACTAAGCATGCTTAGGTGCACCAAATACGCAAAAACAACAAAAAAAAAACAATATAAAAAAATAATAAAACGATTTATGTAAAAAAAAATCCGGTATCTACGTTATAGTTGAGACATTTAAAAAAAAAAACCTATACCTAATAATACTCTGCC